ATGCCGGTGATTTTGAGAGCACGTTTGTTAAAACTGGGGCCAGTGAAACAAGGAAGGGCTTAGGATAGAAGCAGCAACAGGAGAGAGACTAGGCGGGGCTGCTTTGACTCTAAAAAGATGGGGAAGAAGAGAGCCAAGATGGGGCTGTTGTCAGCTCACTGGAGAGTCAGAGAAAAGGGGCCTTGGGGACAAGTTCAGGGGGTTAGCCTGGGACAAGCCGCAGCTGCCCATTGCTCCCTGGTGGCAAGTCTCATGGGGTCCATTAGAGTTTAGGAGATGCACGCCTGTGGGGGAAGCAGAGGGGGAGGAAAAGGTGAGGGTGTGCTCCAGGGAGGGAAAAGGCGCTGGGACCTTTGGTTTGAGGGTGTCTAAAGGCTGGGAGTTTAGGGGAGGGCTTAAGGGAGGATCTCAGTAGAATCTTCATCAGCTCTTCCAGGTGTGTCCTTTCAGGGTCATGTTGTCTACTGATTGGGCAATGCCAGGTCAGGGGGTCATTAGTCATTGCAGATGGTCCTGGTGTCTCCTGTCTGGCTTTGCTGCTTTTCTGGGCCTGGAGCTGAAATACAGCTGAGGCCTAGACGTTATCTCCAGGGAGGAAAGGTCAGGGGCTCTAAACTGCTTGACCGGTGATATGAGAGGTCAGGGGTCTAAACTGCATGACTAACGATTTGCCAGGGGAGGAAGGTCCCGCACTAGTTTCGCCTGTTGCTAGGCATCCGGGACTTTCTGCTCTGGTGTCTTTCTGCCCTGGCTGTAAGTTGCTCGGCCGGTTTGCTCAGCTATCTATCTCAGTGTTCCCTTTCCACTTGCCAAGGAGTTTCCCTAGCTTCTTCCTATCCTGTCTCAATAGGAAGAGGCACCCATCTCAGGAGTTGTTATCCATGTCAAGTGCTTCCCGTGGTGCTAGCCAATGGTAAGTGCGCACTCAGTGTTCACGCCCACTTTAGTAGGAGGGTCATCACAAATAGAAAATATGCAAGACAGCCACTTCTAGGGGGGAAATAATGCTATTTATGTGTGTTGAGTTGTTTATATCCTGTCTTGGTCCAAAAGCATTTAAGGAAGCATACGTATCATTAATGGAGCTCGGTGAAATACATTTAAAATAAACGAGAGGAAATGAGGCACGGAGAAAGTTAGGGTAGGAGCTATGAGGAGGATCCATGAGCACGTTTAGGGCACAAAATGGCAGGCTTGTTCTCTGAGCTTTCTGGTGGCCAGTGGGAAGAGGGTTACACGGTCACGTCTGTGATTCATGGGCTCACCAGACAAAAACAACAGGAGAAGCACAGTGCCCTTGGTACCGGAATCAGAGGGGAAGTGCCCCCTGGGTCCCCACAGAGATGGCATTATTTAACAGGATCAATATGCTTCTTGGCATTTTCCTCCCAGGAACCCTTGCAGGAAGCTTTGTAGACTGGGGTGATTTATCTAGTAGGCGCTGGAGATCACAGCAGTGTGTGGGGTCTCTGAGATTTTCAAGAGTCAAAAATCTTTGAGCCTTGAAAAAATGTTCTCAGATCCAAGATATGAACAAAACTGTGCAATCAAAGCTATGCAAGTCATTTAAACAGGAAGAGTTTTGTGTAGGCTGTTGGGTGCCTTTGAATATGTTTGATGTGAGCAGAGAGTGTCCCTCTGAAGTGATAAGAGCCTGGGGCACACAAAGATTTAAAAAGGCCTGGCCGGCGTGGCTCAGTGGTTGAGTATCGACTTATGAACCAGGAGGTCACAGTTCATTTATAGGTCAGGGCACATGTCCAGGTTGTGGGCTCAATCCCCAGTGTGGGGCATGCAGCAGGCAGCCGATCAACTATTCTGTCATCATTGATGTTTCTATCTCTCTCCCCCTCTCCCTTACACACAAAGATTTAAAAAGGTCCGGCCGGCGTGGCTCAGTGGTTGAGTATCGACTTATGAACCAGGAGGTCACGGTTCATTTATAGGTCAGGGCACATGTCCAGGTTGTGGGCTCAATCCCCAGTGTGGGGCATGCAGCAGGCAGCCGATCAACTATTCTGTCATCATTGATGTTTCTATCTCTCTCTCCCTCTCCCTTTCTCTCTGAAATCAAGAAAAACATATTTTTTTAAAAAAAAGATTTAAAATGGTCCTGCTCAGGGTTGTTACGATGATGGTTTGAATAGTGTTCACCTATCAAAGTTGACAGCATCATGTTAAATCATACCAGTGGAAAAAATTCTGGATATGGTGCATGTAGAGGGCAAAGATAATAGTCTGTCTTTTCTCTTCTTTCTTTCTCTTTCTCTCTCCCTTCCTCTCCCTCTAAAATCAATAAAAACATACCCTTGAGTGAGGATTTTTAAAATGCTAAGCATTTTCTTTACAGATCAAAGGATTTTATTATTCTACAACAGGATGGACTTGAATTCCCAAAGCAAGGGCTGCATGGTAACTATTTTACAAGTGTCACCATTATTCACTACTAGAGGCCAGGTACAAGAATTTGTGCACCAGTGGGGTCCCTTGGCCTGGCTTGCGTGATTGGGCTGAAACCAGCTCTCCAACATCCCCCAAGGGATCCTGGATTGCAAGAGGGCACAGGCCAGGCCAAAGGACCCCATCAGTGCACGACTGGGG